TCGGCCATGTATCCTGCCCATACACAACGCAAGTACTGCTTGAAATCTTTAGCTCAGATTTCAAGGGCCCGGGAAGATGTTCGCGCCGCTTTCGTCTTAGCGTTTTAAGTATTTATTATTTAAGTAAGATGTAATGTAACTCGTATAGCAATTATTATGTTTTACGTGTAGATACGTTTGATTTGTTAGGCTAAGTAATAGTACTAAGTTTCACCGTAATTGTTTACGTTTAAGGTCCATATTTCTTTCTAATAAATCCATTTGTACTTCTACCAATGGCATATAGTTACGTTTGCATACGTAATACTGGCAATAGCCAACGACTGTTCAATTGAATTATTCAATGTACCTTTACCTTCTGGCCTCTTAATCTGTTAGCACGTCCTATTTAATATTTTTAAGATAATTGTGTACAAGTTAAATAGTACATTAAAATAGATTACTGAGACTCCTTCGAAGTTTCATTTCTTTGTACCATATTGTACAAAGATAATGCCAAACTTTTTAAAAATCATGACATGAATTTTTTCATGTCTCTCCTGCCAATAACAGAAAAGTTTACGACGCATCAAAAATTGATTTTCCGTAGAGAAATGCTCAAAATAGCAATGGAAATTAGTAATATGCACAATCCATATGAAATAATGGTGACCGAATTCTTCAGATTCGTATTTTTCTCAACAGTCTGAATCGATTTTACACATCAAGATCAGGGAAGAAACTTTCCCTGATATATCAAATACCATTTCACAAGAATGTGTAATGTACCAAGTACGTCCCACTACTTCTTATACATCAAACTCCGGATCCCAAATTATTTCTCAAGGATACCAAACCATCCATGGCATTACTAGGAAAGCCAACGAAGACAAGTAAAATGTGTCCTTCAACAAAATAAATAACTACTTATTCTTTTTTACAAAAAATAATAAAAAGCTTATACAAAAATTTATTGTTTTCTTTCTTATTATTATGTTCCAATAATAGATTGATATTATGTAACTCACCTCAATGTAACAGCAAGTCGTTCCACTGGAGGTATAATTTCTCGATATATGGAGCAGTGTTTCAGGTGATTTTCTAACTTTGATAACAGTTCATCAAAAGTTTTTACTTTCATTCTAAAATAATTAAAGAACTTTTCCTCGTCCTGACGTAGCTTTTCAAATAATGTAGAAAATTCACAATTCGTCACCCTATCAGCAACAATTGGGTGAATGTGATATCTTTTTCTACATTGACGCCTTCTCCGCTTGCGTGGGTATGCTGCAGCAACTAAACAATTTATAAACGGATTCATAATTATCCCAAATCCACTTGGAGACGCCTGTACCGTGGAACGGTCGGTATCACACTACGGATGTTTTCATTGGCGCTGATGGTCAGCGCGCTACGCGACTGACGGTACGCGACCGACGTCAGCGTGGGAGGAATTCAGGCTTAAAGTTTCTTGCCCGTTCTTCTTTAGGGTTACAAACTCTGAACGGGATGAAAAAATATTTACTTAGAATCCTTTAGTTTTCAAGCACGCGTTACCACACCGAAAACTGTAAAGATGTACAAAAATGTTCCTAGTGCTGTTTCAATTATTTGTTTTATTTAAATAATATCCACATAAATATTTTGTATTATTTCTGTTGTTTCATTCGAAACTGAATACATACCTATGGATATATTATTATCCACCGATAAAAAATCGGTAGATAATAATATATCCGAAGGTAATTTTTTAAACTATTTAATTTCAAGTTTATGATAGTTTTTGTGAGTGTTTTTGCGTAATCTGTTAAACATAGAAAAAAATTTTATATAAAAAACTGATTATAATAACAAGGAAAAGACAAAACGCAAAATAAAGCGATTTAAAAATATTATAAAAAAAATGTAAAGTAAAGTAAAGTAAAATATACTTTATTGTACACCAAGGAACATATTACAGTATTTATAAATTTAAAGGGACATTGGTACAACAGGCGGCCTTATCGCTAAAACAGCGATCTCTTCGAGGCAACCTTAGGGCAGAGGATACTATTTTTAAAAGATAGCGGAAGGGGTGTACAGAATATAACATAGAAAGATAAAGAAAGAAGAAAGAAAAGTGAATGACGACAGGTAGTAACTTAAGGGGAAAGGAAATAAAGTTTTAATTTATTTTTAAATTAATAGGAAGAGATTTAGATTCTTTAATATGTAAGGGGAGAGAATTCCATAGGCGTATAGCGGTAACCGTAAAAGAATTAGAATAGAAGGAAGAGGAATGTCTAGGAGTACTTAGAAGGAGATTATTTTGAGATTGTAGAGGTAGATAGTGTAAACTACTTAAATATATAAATCGGTCTTTCAAATAAGAAGGAGTGGTCGGATTGAACAGAATGCAGTAAAGAAGATGAAGAATGTGAGTATTCCTGCAAAGGCGAATCGGTAACCACTTGAGCTTATGGCGGAATTCGGATATGTGGTCATACTTTCGTAACCCAAATATAAACCTTATGCAATAATTTTGAAGCCGCTCAAGTTTATTAAGGCCTCGACTGTTAGGTCAAGATAACAAGTGTCCGTGTAGTCAAGGATCGGTAAAAGAAGAGATTGAGCCCGCGCAACTTTAGTAGGAATGGGGAGAACATTGCGTAATCTTCGAAGTGAACCAACTGCGACAAACATTCTTCTACTTATTTCACTCACTTGCGGTCCCCAATACAAAGTCTGATCGAACATAATACCTAAATTATTAACTTTGTCACTGTATGGGATAAGTGTCCCTTCGAATATAACTGGCGGGAGCAGCGACAAAGTTAACCGAGAGATTAATTTTGAACTCCCAGTAATAATGGCTTGAGTCTTCAGTGGATTAACTTTAAGCCCAAATGAATTACACCAATGAGAAATACGAAAAGATCTTCATTAATTAATCTAATTTTATTGGGGAGATCCGCAATCTTACATTGAGAGTAAATTTGTAAATCGTCTGCATATAGGTGGTAAAGAGAAGTTATGTGAGAACAGATCGAATTGATGAAAATAGAGAACAATAGAGGAGACAACACGCCACCTTGTGGGACGCCAGCTTTGACAGCAGACCAATCAGAAAACGTGTCTTGAATTTGTACACGTTGCCGGCGCCCATGCAAGTAACTATGAAACCAACCAACTACTTCAGGAGATATGTTAAGAGAACTTAGGACAGCGAGTAAAACATCAAAGTCTACAGTATTGAAGGCATTACTAAAGTCAAGCGATGTCAATACTGTAACCTATTGATTATCCATGCCCAGGCGAATATCATCAGTGATTCTAACCAAAGCCGTAGTCGTACTATGACCGGGACGGAAACCAGATTGGAATGAATTAAAAATCGAGTAATGGGATAATCATCTTACGACTAATGCTGTCAGAACCAACTGCGTCGGAAGTAATGGCTAATATATTCTTCTTAACATCACTGACAGTAACTTGGCTAAAGACAAAAGAGGAAAAATTAGGAGTTGATATAGCAAAAAGTTGAGCAAGTGTATTTTTCTTCGTAGCAGTATATAGTGGCGCTAGAGAGGAATTGAGCATTAAGCTTATTTAAATTCAAATTAAGAGATTCATCATCACATTACGCTTTGTTTTTCCAACCCCTAAATATTTGTGAAAGTTCCAAGCTTTAGTTGAGTTATCTATCTTCCTCAACAACAGATTTATAGATATGGCGTCGTTGACTATCTCTACACACCATATTGCAGCGATTTCGTGCCCTGTTATATTTCTCTCGGTTGGAATCATTAGGATTCATACGATATTTCGTTTTCGCTGTGTTCTTTTTTTCTTGGAGTTTTTTTATGTCGGCATTGAGCCAGGGGGCAGGAAGATGCTTCATTCGGACTGAACGAATTGGAGCGTGAATGTCATACAGTTGTGTAAGTATGCTGTTAAAAATAGATATCTGCTCATCAACCGAATCAGCATTCGCAACTACTGACCAGTCAACCTTAGCAGTATCTCCTCGTAACTTATCCAGGTCCATTCTACTAAAATTGCGCCGGAGAAGGATCCTTCGCTTACCTTTAATTTATAGCACAGGTAAAGTAGATCATGGTAAGAAAAAGCGGAGGCATTGCATTGACCATGCTTTACAACGTGGTTAATGGAAGAAACAAGTATTAAATCAAGAAGAGAAGGCACACAATTTGGAAAAGCATGAGTCGCAGAAAGTGGGAGGATATGTAAGTTAATGCCATTAACGAGAGATTTCAGACGGGATGCTCTAGCATCATTTTTGAGAAGACAAGTATTGAAATCTCCCATAACAATAGTGTGATTATAAAGCGAGGAGTATTGTTCTAAAAGAATTTCAAATGCTGAAAAATAATCAATTGTAACATTTGGACTATAATAGACACCGAGAAGAAGCTTTCAATGTCCACATAATATTTCGATGAATAGGTGTTCAGGGCCGGCACTAGACAATGTCTGCGAAGTATTTAAAACTGTGTAAGGAATGTGTGATCTTAAATAAATCGCCACGCCACCGCCAGCGCGCCCAAGGCGATCGTTGCGAATCAAGTGGAATCCGGGAAGAGAGTAAGATGTTGAAGACAAACATGGTTTTAGCCAAGATTCAGAAACTAATATCGCATGTATATTTTCGTTATAAAATGAGGACAACATGTCAGGATAATGTGCAGGAATACTCTGGGCATTTATATGTACAACATTAAAGTTTTTCAGAGTATCTGAGAAATGAGAATCAAGAGTTTTAAAATGCGTTTTATTTTTCAATTTAGTACATTAACCTTTTAATATATATCTTATTAAGTTAATGAACTACGAGTACTATTAACCTAATAACATATATCTTAGGAGGTTAATGTACTACTTACATATTTTTGAAACACTGTGTATTGATTCTACCTATAATTAGTTTACTTTTCCCAAAAATAAGAGAGGATCTCATCAAACCTTGTTTGTAATGCACTATCGCTCGTTATTGGTGAGCAACATAGGCTAAGATTAAACAAATGTCACTCTCAAATACAACAGTTCAAAGCCGCATTTTAGACTTGAGTAACGATATTTTGGCAACTGTTATACATAAAATTAAAGAAAGTCCCATGTTTGCGTTGCAATTAGATGAGTCTACGGGTGTAACTTCGTGTTCACAATTACTGATATTTACTGTGTATATCAAAGATCACCATGTAAAAGAGGAATACCTGTTTTGCAAGTCTTTGGCCACTACTACTCACGGCGAAGACGTATTTGAAACGCTAAAACAGTTTATTGAGGAAAACGGAGTGGACTCGTCAAATCTGGTTGGTGTTTATACAGGCGGGGCGCCTTCTATGATGGGCGCTCGTTTTGGGTTTCAAGCACTCGTGAAACAAGTTGCTCCTCAAGTTTTATCTTATCATTGCATGATTCACCGATACGCTTTGGCGTTTAAGACGCTTCCACTAGATTTGCTAAGCACCTTGAGTGACGCAGTAAAAATTGTAAGTTATATTCAACACATCGATACAAACTCGACGTTATTTAGTTTTGTGATGAAGTTGGTGCCAAATTTAAAATTAATATTTATCTGCGGTAATACTCATTGAAGCAATATTTTCCGGATTTTATAAGTATTACTGGCCATTGTGTCAATGAAGAGTTCCAGCTCAAATCTTATTGCCTGGGAGTGTGTCCTTTTGAAGGTGACTCACATTCAGGAGAAGATATTGCCCACAATATGCATATTATGGTGTTTCTGGAATGGCAGCTATTGGATAAAGTTACAGCAGTTGTAACGGACACCGCACGGAATATAGTTAAAGCAATTGATGACCTTGCTCTAAGTCTTAAACATATTTCTTGTTTGGTGCACAGCATCCAATTAGCGCTGAAAAAAAGTTTGTTTGATGTGAATTGTGTGAATTTGAAATTGAAAGTGAATACGCATAACTAAATGCTTTCTTAAAACGACAATCAGAGAAGTGGAAAGGTTTTTGAACGAAGCTCCCGATGATCGCTATTTAGCCACAAAGGTAATTTATTGATAAAAACTTATATTTTTCTTTAGTATTCAGTTTACGAAATCGCAAAATACAGTCAATATATTATTTAAAAAAATATTAATCAAATCCCTTTTTTGTAGGTTGCGCTGATTTTTGGCGTTGTTGGAGCTTTCCGCAGAGAGGAGTTAGGCAATATTACTTTAAAAGATATTGAAGCCCATGGAAAAATGCTACTAATCAAGATTCCGAATACAAAAAATAAGATACCGAGAAGCTTTGTTGTTGAAGGAGATTTTCTTAGAATAATGCAAAAATATATGAATCAGCGGTCCCAAAAAGCAAAAACCGACCGTTTTTTCCAAAATTATCAAAAAGGGAAGTGTACAGCTCAAGCAATCGGGATAAACAAATCTGGTAATATGCCAAAAGAAATAGCTACGTTTCTTAGTCTGCCGGATGCTGAGTATTATACTGGGCACAGCTTCAGGAGGACCTCTGCTACATTATTGGCAGATTCAGGAGCCAATTTGACGTCCTTAAAGCGACTAGGAGATTGGAAGTCAGACAAAATTGCAGAAGGCTATATTGCTGATTCATTAAACAACAAACTAGAAACTGGGAAAAAAATCACACAATCCATTAATTTAAAGTCCAGTCCGTCTCCTTCACATGACAATACAATACTGAAGAGAACGTTCGTCCATCTACCTTCGTTGATAATGATAATTCATCAGATCCAATTCCATCAACTAGCAAACGCCATTGTATAACACCTTTGACAAATATTCATAAACAATCATACGAAATTAATAATAGTTTGTCTCAAACAGTAAATATGCAACCTAAAACTTCCCCAGTTAGTATAAAAAACTGTACCAATTTCAATGTATATGTGAATTATAACTTTTATAAGGAATAAATGATTAGTTAGTTGAGTTTATTGTGCTTTTTTTTATTATTTTATTAAATTGCTTCATTTTTCGCAACTGTATTAAAATAAATAGTTGTTCAGTACACGTGCGGAATCGTCAGTGCAACTTGTTCTGACTGTCAACCCTCACCTTCGGCTGCGCCTCGGCTCGGGTAGACATTTGTAAGAACTCTTTGTAATGACAGGCTTTTCGCACTCGTTATGAAATATACTAATTCGTTGCATCACTAGTAATGAAGCATCTCATCTTAGTTCCCAATGGTAACAACGCATCCGTCATAAATGAGAATAGATAAGTGTCTAGGGACGACAGATTACTTCTTATTTATATAGAAAAAACACAAAGAGTGGCCTCAAGACATCAAATTAATAATAATTTATGTTTACGTTTGCTATAATATTTTTAGACTACAACCTTTAATGCATCTTCTGAATCAGTACTATAAACATTTTCCGTACAAAATTTTATTCAAGCTTCGGCACCAATTGTAAATTAATATATTTATGGTTGATTCAACAAAACATTTTTTTTTTATTTTTCTTTGTGTTTTACATTTGAAATGGAATTGAAGAAATCTATCCGCACAACATTTAATATTCCCCTTAACATTTACAGTAGGGACTTCACGTTTTAAGTGCGATAGGCACAGATTTTAAATTTGTGTAAAACAATAAATTAACACTGAAATTATACAGGGTATTTTTGGAACGCTCCCGAAAACTAAGACAGGCGACAGCACCAAGTATACCTTTGATCATGGGTAACACATAAATTCGATCCTGATGAAAAAAAAATCATCTTTTTACAACGTTTTATTAGCTTTATTCACGCGCTATCATGTTAGTACAGCTAAATGAAACGATAATTTCATAAAAAAATCATGAAAATACTGAAACATAATACCAGCAGTGAAATTACTGAATTGATATCAGCTGACTTGAGGTCAATGTACGCGCGAACGCAAATTCGCGCGGCCCGCAACTAGCGGGCCATACCACATTACCTAATAATTTACAACACTTGTCTAAATACCTAACTTATCTACTTAACCTACTATTTTGTCACTGTACTTGTTTCCACGTAGCTACTTTAATACGAATTTACAGGTTAAATAACCCAAATAACTGGTTCGATTCCCCGCTAATGAAAAAATACTTAAATTAATGAAATGTAACCAAGATTGGAGTCATGCGTTTTTATTCATCGTGTAGGTATGTTTATTATTCTCATGTATTCAGTTATGTTCCTATTCAGATTAGTGCAGTACTAAGTTATTTAAAAAAAATACTTATGAAACAGCTTACCGCTCTAAATCCCCCGTGGTCTTATGAGATGCGGCTCAAATTGTGCTCCATTCATTTCAAGGCAGATTTGGGCTCGGTGTTGCATCTCCTCATGCAGGCGGGGCATCATCGTGTATTCTTCGACACAGTCCGTATGTAGTTTGTCGAAAACATCCACGATCCTTTTGTAGTTTCGTCAGCACTATCACACTCACGATTAAAAACCCTTTCTTTCACATACCCCCACAGAAAGAAGTCTAACGGGGTCAGATCTGACGAGCGAGGTGGCCAACCGAGTGGTCCTAGTCCGCCGAATCCAGCGATCATCAAATAATTCGGTGAGGCGCTCACAGACGAACCTCACGACATGTGGAGGTGCACCATCATGCTGGAACCACGGTCGGCGATATTCAGCCAACGATAGGTCGTCTAAAATGTCAACCAACTGTTCACTTATAAAGTTTAGGTATCGCTGTCCGTTCAGTCGCTGTGGCAGAAACACTGGTCCCAGTATGCGATCCTTAATACCTGCCCATACGTTAACCGACCATCGGGTTTGGTGCCCGGTTTGTCGAACAGCGTGCGGGTTAACCTCTGAATACACGTGTGTATTTCTTCGGTTCCACAGGCCGTTTCTGGTAAATGTCGACTCATCCGTCCAGATAATGTGCTCAATGGAACCAGGCACACGTTGTTGCTAGTTTAATAACCAACGGCAGAAAACTCGTCGGCGGTCGTGATCGCCGGGAACTAAAGCCTGCACTTTGTGCAATTTGTATGGGCGCATCCGGTTACGCTTCAACACTTTGTGCACTGCAAAGTATGACACACTTGTTCCATCCCGACGTCTTAACAATTTATTTAGCGATACTTCGTGTACCTAGGTTCGGATACCTAACATGTTGAGCACTATAAACGTACGCGTTAGGCATTATTAAAACAAAAAAGAATCCAAAAACGTAACAACAACAATAATATCAACACGTAATCACAAGTAAATTTATTAAACAAAACGATTGAACTGTCGCTCGCGCACGCGTGTACAAAATCAACACGGAACTGTCCCAAAAACTAAAACGAACGAACCCCGCCAAGGCTGAAACCTACTGCGTCACAAGCGTGAGGCGACAGGGTTAGGCATTCTGCCGTCATAATAAAGAAGGACGCAACTAACAAAAACGTAAAATCGAAATAAAAAATAAATAGATGATTTTTTTTTGAAAGGACGCTAATAGTAATTTACTACTTTTTTATTATTAGTAAATATTAGAAAAGCATTGGTAGTGAGATACATAAAATAACAACCCGCAACTCTTGAGTTATGATTTTAAAGGGGATATCATACCAGACTTACTACGATAATAATTAAAAATTAAAAAATTTTACAACCGACTTCAATATAAATAATTAAGGATAACTCAAAAACTATTGGTCTGACCTCGATCAAATTTATATGGGACGACATGTGAAACACCAGCTCTTAATAATAAGATATAAGCTCTTAATAATAAGATATAGAATAATAAGACAAGAATAATCGAAATTTAAGTAATCGATGCAAATATTGTTAAAGATGACGTAGCAACTGGTTAAATAAGTCTTTTCTTTTATGTCGAATTTGTATTGTGGAGTGTAGAGAGAAGAAGGACCATCTCTATACTATGAAAAGTGTCCCTAAAAACGTGTCGAATAAGGGTGGCGCTGCAGTAGTATAGGATAAATTAAAAAAAGCGCCAAAAGTAATTAGAGTAAGATGGAGAAATAAACAAGGACCGATTAATCCGCTTGGTTTTGTACTACGTAAATAGTTGAGATTTTGTGTACTGGCATTTTACTAACTACTCTAGTCATGAAATTTTTTAAATATTTCAATTCAGCTGACTTCACTCCGTCCATAACAGCTATCTTCATATCGTAGTTTTTCAAACCCCAGCGCTATTGTGGTAGGTTTTGAAACCTCTATTTTCAGTAAATAGTAGGACACTTTTTCAACTTTCGCCCCTTATAAGATGGTTCTCCTTGTACTCTACACTCCATAATTTGTATAAGTCTTTTCTACTAAAAAAATGTCATCTGTGATCAACAGTTACGTCTAAAATTCTTACGATATTTTCTAAAATATTGATATTTTTGAATATTAAAAAATTTAGTAGATGCGCCTTTTTATCATGAGTCGAATTGTATATTTAACTCATTTATTCAAAAATTGTTAGATGCGCCCTTTTTTCTTATGACGGCAGCATTGTTTCGCACCGAGGTAGATACAGGTCGACAGTGTAGTTACAGTCGCGTTCTAAAGTACTACATGGTATTGGGATATTGTTTTATAATATTATAGTAATTAATTGTTTTATTGTAGAATCATAATAGGTGCTTTACTAGCTACTTAGAACTTTGGAAAAGGTTGGAATTAAAAATGGATAATGTTTACTTGAACATTATTTGTTATTTCTATCGTAAAATATAAAGTAGTTTGTAACAAGAAAACTTAAGCTAAGGGTGACACGCCGTCCATTATGTCGTCTTGGGTCACATGGAAGCCAGATGTTGATGGTGTGTTGGTGTTACTGGATGCTACTTCATCATCACTTTCATCTTCGCTTGAGCTTCCGTCATCAGGTCGATCACATGGTAAGTTTTTCGGTATTCTTCCTCAACACTTTTAACTTTATTGCACAATTTTCCCCATTCACCTTTTCCTATCATATTTACCTTTTCATTCACTAGTTCAGTCATAAAACAATAGATATAAATAATTTTTCTTTCCTTCCTTTTTAAAACATCGTCGCGAGTCACAAAGTAAGCTGTGTATGCGACTGTATTTTTGGAGCGAACAAAGCGCGGGTACCAATAGCATGCAGGCACAGTAATACTGGCGGATTGTTCCCCCGTCGCGCCCCCTTCGTACCAATATGTGATAAATCGCTCAGTGCCCAAGTTCAAGGCCAGCGTTCCTTTTTCACCGTTCGTACACTAACCTCCATTAGTCAGGTGATATCAATTCAGTTTCCACTGCTGGTTTTATGTTTCAGTATTTTCATGATTTTTTTTATGAAATTATCGTTTCATTTAGCTGTACTAACATGATGGCGCGTGAATAAAGCTAATAAAACGTTGTAAAAATATGATTTTTTTTTCATCAGGATCAAATTTATTTGTGACCCATGATCAAAGGTATACTTGGTGCTGTCGCCTGTCTTAGTTTTCGGGAGCGTTCCAAAAACATCCTGTATAAGTATTAGAAACATTATTTTTAGAATCAATCAGGTCATTTCTACACATGCACGATTTCGTTACATGCTTTAAGCACTTTTGCACAACCCATCTACAAAAATAGTTTCTTTGACCTTTATTAAATGTGTTATCTTTCATAAAATCGTCAATGAATGTAATTTCCTTTTCTTCAGCAGCATTTGAAGCTGCAGACTCGATGTCTATACGGGAATTTTAAATTTAGTAAATATTTACTGTCATCATGCTCACAACTTGCATGTACAGATTGAACACAGTAATTATTTAGTAGGAGCGATTTATATGCCATTTCAAATGCCACAG